CGTTATTAACGCTAGATCCAATAAAATAGTATAATTAAATTAGAAATTTTTATAATATAAAATGTATCTCTGCTTTGTATTACTAATTGCAAGTGGGGCATTTCTGAACGTGAATGCGCGAGTAATATATCAAATTGGTAATTTCATGGCAGTTATAATTGTTAAATTTGATCAAATAGTGAATTGTCGAGCGTAATATATAGTAGATGATGCCAATTATGAATACATGATATTTATTTGGCAGGTTTTACCCCGTTTATAAACACAACACTAGTCGATCACTTCGAGATCGTCTGCAACAGCGACGCCGACAGCGCCGTCAACATCAGCTCAATACAGTTGTCTGCGGGACAGTGGGGTCTTGAGGCCAGTTGTAATGGTTATCAAGTGGTCACTTACTCGTCATCCAATTACATCGCTGTTCAGCTTAATCCGCCCTTGGTCTTTTCGTTGACCTTTCGCTCGTACCACGTCAGCTCTTATACCAATGGTATGATCAGTACATATGATCAGTACATTTGTCCATTAATTAACAGTCAAATATTGGGCCAATTGTATTATTTCAGCGCCAACTGTACATACAGTGTAAGACAATTATCAAAAAGTACCAGTATATTATATATAATTTATAATTGCCTAGCACAATGCTTATTCACATAACAAATATCATAAATTGTAAATATTTTAAAATCTTATAGTTTGCTCTCATTTGACTGTTAATGGCATTACACAGTATGACATGACTTTATTAGTTTTATATTTTGTTATGATAAATTATTAATACACAATGCCTATGTTAGGGGATCTAGCTACTTACTTACATGGACCTGTGACTGATGGTCCGTGCGAGTACATTTGTCAATTAATTAACAGTCAAATATTGGGCCAATTGTATTATTTCAGCGCCAACTGTACATACAGTGTAAGACAATTATCAAAAAGTACCAGTATATTATATATAATTTATAATTGCCTAGCACAATGCTTATTCACATAACAAATATCATAAATTGTAAATATTTTAAAATCTTATAGTTTGCTCTCATTTGACTGTTAATGGCATTACACTATATGACATGACTTACTTAGTTTTATATTTTGTTATGATAAATTATTAATACACAATGCCTATGTTAGGGGATCTAGCTACTTACTTACATGGACCTGTGACTGATGGTCCGTGCGCTGGATCATTTTTCTACTACCGAACATTATACCAAGGTCAGCCATTAAATGGTTGCCAAAGCAGTAATGGAATCGTCGCGGAAAATGGATTTTATAGATTTTCAAGGATTAGCGGCGCGTGTAAGTCGGTGTGCCAAATGAATTCCCTTGATAATATTGGTTTCAATGTAGAATCATACTCACCAGGTGTAAATAATAACGGAGTTGCAGGCTAATATTATACTATCTATGAAACAAATAGTTTGCCCTTATATAACAAACATACAATAAAGTAGTTTATTATTAGTATAGGGGCATACAGAAAAAACCAAGTCAAGTAAATAATAACGGAGTTGCAGGCTAATATTATACTATCTATAAAACAAATAGTTTGCCTTTATATAACAAACATACAATAAAGTAGTTTATTATTAGTATAGGGGCATATAGAAAAAACCAAGTCACAAACTTTAATTACATTTTAATTAAAAGTGATAGATTTAATCAATTAGTGAGGCTTTGCATTTGGACACCCTGTATTATTTTTAAATATTTTTTCTGATTTGTAGAGTAAAAATAAGATTTGTATATGATATATAATTGATCCAAATTAATTAGTTTTAAAACTATTGTCATTAATTATACTGTATATCTATGTAAAATTAGTTTTTTATGTAATAACTTTTCAAAAATAACAATATTTTTCACGGTTCTTTAATAAAAAATCATAAAATTTTTCAACAAATATTATCTAGATAAATTATATATTAAATAAAAATCTAATCCTTCATCTACATTTGCTGCGGAAAAGCGCATAAAAACCAATCATAAAATTAGTCAAATTTTCTGTAGTCATTAAATCAACAATAAAAATATTTTCAAGAAGTTATAAAACAAGGTTTACAAGCAATGCAATAGAAACCCACATTTACAATTTGACTAATATAGAATAAATTATATTGTAATTAATTATAGAAACTTATCGTCAATCCATTCAAACTTACAAAATTCAACTATCACAATTAAAATTGTAGTTTGTATTAATAAAGTTAAATTAGTTTGAAGAAAGTTATATGAAAGATAAGATAGGGGAGGGCTTTAATGGTGGGTTCAGAATAGGTTAGTGCTTGTAAGGAGGGTGCAAGATAGGGGGATAGCCTGATAGGGGGATAGCCTGATAGGAGAAGTGGATCCCAAGACTGGAGAGGGCTGTACGATGGGCGCCCTGTACTGGAAACTCAATGACATATGGCAGGCGCCTACCTGGGCGTCCATAGAGTATGGCGGTAAATGGAAAGTATTGCAATCGTACGCCAGGTAATTTTTTGATAACCGATATATAAATCTTAAAATTTTTAATTATACCTAATGATTCTAGTATAACATTACATGATTAATAACACGGCAAAATATTTGCCATGTATCTTATATTTTGCAAGTGTTAAAACTATAACTTGCATACATATTAAAAATCCTCAAATACAGAGCATCATGGTAAGTTAAATTATTATTTTGAATTAGCCGAAGCCTTTGCAGTATTATAGCCAACACCGGCAGCTATATGTCCGCTGTCCACAAGCATTTGGGTTCCCGTTATAAACGACGACTCGGGGGCCGACAGGAATAGGACGGCCTGAGCCACGTCCTCAACCACACCTCCCGACCGGCAACTTATTCGCCATACCTTTGGCCATACCATGACTTTCGGGTCAACACCTGTCGATTTGAGGAAATCCGTTTCGATAACACTCGGACTGTAGAGGAAATGGATTCAAACGAGTTGTATTGATTGGGTAATTATATTGCTTACTTAACACTATTGACACGAATGCCTTTCCCTCCCAACTCAGCGGCCATACATCTGGTAAACATATCGACCGCAGTCCTGGCCATACAGTACGGTGCACTCAGACTGGCCTATTCATAAATTACGTCAACACGATGTAATACTAATTAAATGTATGGGAACTACATTACCGATTGAGTACTCCTTACGCTCGACATATTAATGATGACACCCCGGGTCTTCTCCAGGTGCCCGACGCACAGGTATGTCATATACACAGCCATATCCAAGTCCACGCGCATAGTAAGCCGATAGGCCTCCATAAATGACGGATTAGTAATGCCGACAAACTTGACTGGCATACCGGCGCAGTTGAACAGTACGTCTATTTTACCAAAAGTTTCAATAGTCTGGTCGACCAAAGCCCGGGCTTCATCCTCGTGGGTCAGATCGGCCGCCATTTCTAGTACTTTTGCGCCCAAACTTCGGCACCGGTTGGCCACCGCTGAGAGCCCAGAGTCGGCGTACAGTCCGGTCACCACTACGTCGGCACCCGATTGGGCGAACAATTCTGCAGTGGCCGCCCCTATGCCCGAACTGGACCCAGTGATCAGGGCCACTTTACCACTCAAGTCATGGAAGTCATATGTGACAGACATTTAGTGTATAATTTGTCTTAATTAACTAATATTCAGTTTACAGTAGTGTACGCAAAAATTTAATGATTTATTTTACAGTTGTATAAAAGCTACTTGTTAAAACGGCAAATAATTATTAAAAGTTACTAGATATTATTGAAAACCATAAAGTTGCTAATTCATTTTATTGCGTACATGTTTTTTATAAACCTTTAGATATTTACTTATTTAGTTAAATAAGTATCTTGCAATAATGTTAACTTTTTCAATTCATCGTGAACTTGTAATTATATTTAAATATAAAAATTAACTAAATAAGACTAACTAATACATGCTTTTATAATATTATAATTTGATCGCATAAAATTTATCGATCATATTTAATAATTCAATAGTCTAACAAGTAAGGTAATTCATTATTATCATTTTTAAATATTTAATAAACTTAAGAAAGTTAGTTACTTTAAATTTTAGATTTAAATTCTAAATTTTAATTTGCAATTATTTAGTAATCAAGGGTTAGTTTATGTTATTAGAGATTATCCTGGCACAATTTGCTCACACCTAACGAGGTTCCCCATTTAATATAAATGAATGTCTAATTTATCGCATACCTTTTAAATTATAATTTTCATTATGACAAGCAACATTTAGCAAATATCTATAAAATCACGCATTTAAGTTTTCTCAGTACTAACAATACGTCGAAACCTGGATGCAATTATTAAAACCAAAATTAATTTCTGCTAATTAATCGTATATAACTTACATAGGCTCTTTTAATAAATACAACTAGTTACGAATCATTGTTAGAAATAATTATTAAAGTAAATTAAATAATGTTTTGTGTTATAAATATCTCACTACAAAATGCTTTCTTAATATAGTAATTTTATTTTTTTTAATAAGAAATATAGAAATGATAGAAATAAATACCGCTAATAGGAGTCCGGGAGAGACTATACATTCGGTGCGCATTTCGTGGACTAATATCCGGGTGTCGACTAAAACACAGAAATCAATGTATAATTGCTTTCAAACCAATGAAACTCCGAAAGAGATCCTAAGGAACGGTATGTGCACTTTATAATGTTAAACATACACATTGTTAAAGTAATTACTAATTAATACTAATGACTACTGATTAATAGTATCGGGTGAAATTAAAGCTGGAAGTTTGTTGGCCATAATGGGCGCCAGGTTTGCAAATATTGTTTTTGATTTATTATATAATTTATATGCGCGTATAAAATATTCAAATAAATTGTCAAAAACTATTAACTAAATGTCCTTTCTAAAATATCTAAAATTTCAAACGAAATTATAGATTTATTTTCTCAATACAGATGTAATCATTTGCAAGTTTTTATAATGACCTTGATAATTTATGGGCGTTTTATTTGAATATTATATACATATTTCACAATTAGTTTTATTAATAAATATTGTATTAAATGATTGCGTGATTCAGTGGCTCCGGAAAGACGACTCTATTGAATGTATTGACGGCAAGAAATTTATCGCAACTGTCCGTCAATGGAGTGGTACTCATGAATGGACAGGCAGTCAGTCAGCAGACCATTGCTTCCGTGTCCTCGTATATACAACAACACGATTTGTTTCAACCGTTGTTTACAGTCAGGGAACACCTATTATTTCAGGTATGTATCAATTTGATGAATGTTAGAATAAATATTTTAAAATAAATTAATATTTAAGGCATTATTACGAATGGATAAGAATTTAAGTAGAAATGAGAGACAAGATTGCATTCAACGAGTCATTCAAAAGGTTTAGACAAAAAAACTAAACTTACCAATATATAATTAAACATTTAATTAGATATCTATTATTGTGTTTAATGATAGTTTAATTTAACGAAATGTGCGGAAACAAGGATTGGAGACAACAAACAATTGAAAGGCATTTCCGGCGGAGAAATGAAAAGACTGTCCTTAGCTTCAGAAGTCCTCACAAACCCATCGCTAATGTTTTGGTCAGAAATACATCGAAAATATAATTGTCTTTCAATTCATTTAATAATAATATGTTTGAATGCATTAGTGATGAGCCGACCACTGGTTTGGACTCATTTATGGCCAAAAGTATAGTACAAGTGCTGAAGACTATGGCATCGGAGGGACGGACTGTCGTCTGTACTATACATCAGCCCTCGTCTCTAGTCTTTGAACTCTTCGACAGTACACTGGTTTGGACTTATTTATGGCCAAAAGTATAGTACAAGTGCTGAAGACTATGGCATCGGAGGGACGGACTGTCGTCTGTACTATACATCAGCCCTCGTCTCTAGTCTTTGAACTCTTCGACAGTCTATTACTTATGGCCGACGGAAGGGTAGCTTTCATGGGGTCCATCGGTATTCATATTTTATATATTTATTATAAATGATTAATAATTTCATTGCATTTATAGGTGAAGCAAAAGATTTCTTTTCATCGCAAGGATTAGTAATATTGTTATTATAATTATATTTATTTAATTAAATATAAAATTAAAATTTCTTCAATAGGTTTGTCCTAGAACCTACAATCCATCGGATTATTATTTGCGGGAATTAGGTTTGTTTTACTCATATGCCTAATCAATTTCAATCACTTGATATCATTTTTCTCAAAATAGCAATAATGGATAGTAATTATGCGCAAACAAAAAGCAAAGTTAATGTAATATTTGAATATATGAATGAAAACCTTTAAAGACAGGCATAAAACTGAAAGAAGGATGTTTCTCGGTCTATTGGTTAATTGACCAGCTCTACCGGTTAATTTTATTAGCTAATCTTTTAGTGGTTATTAAAACATATAACATATGTAAAAATGAGCAACTTTCATAGAACGGTTTAACCGCTAGATGGATTTAAATAGATTAAAATAGGTGCTTTATTTTCTTAATTCTCAATAGATTTTAACAAATAAAATTATTTTTCTGACCAATTCGAACATGAGGATTTAAAATAAATTATTATTTATTTAATAAAATTAAAAAATAACGCTAAATTTTACAAAGAACACGTTCGAATTTGACCTAAGCTGGAACCCGGGAAATAATTATTAATTCTTATATAACTTTGGACGAGGAGTCCGAATATCTAATTTATATTGTCCTGTGACCTCGAGTTCGGGCGAAGTGACCACTTATACCGGTAAAATGTTCATAATTAATATGCCCGTGATATATGAATTCAATCAACCTAAGTAATCATGTAAATAATGTAGAATTAGTGACAAACTAGATTCTCAACTGGCAACCAGGAATTTGTTTAATTTTTACTGAACATCCTACCAGAATTAAAACTATGTAATTTCTATTGCATAGTGGCCAGCTACAGTGGCCACTTTTATCGGGAAATATTTCCCTTATAAATATGGGTATGTGATATATCAATTTAATAGAGAATTTCACTCTAAATATGACGGTGTAAATAATAATATAGAAAATTCTAGATTTAAATGAAATATTGTGATTTTTCATAATTTTAGTCACAAATTCTACATTATTTGCATGATTACTCAGGNGAAAATTCTAGATTTAAATGAAATATTGTGATTTTTCATAATTTTAGTCACAAATTCTACATTATTTGCATGATTACTCAGGTTTATAAAATTTTTGCATATACAATCGCATTCTCTGTTAAAATCTCTATTGAATTGATATATCACATGGGTATAATTTATTATGAAAATTTTCCCGATATAAGTGGTCACTGCAACCGAACCCGAGGTCACAGGACAATATAAATTACATATTCAGACTCCTCGTCCAAAGTTCTATAAGAATTGTTAATAATATTAGTTATAATAAAAAACCGAATATACGACAAATATGTTGGTTAAGGGGTATGCATCCTCCTTTATTTTCAAATTAATTGTTATTAATTTTTTTTATAGAAAACATAGTTTTTCAGAGAGCCAGTCAACTATAAGATTTGTGTCAGGGATATTTGTTACCGCTGAAGCTTTAGAGTAATTATTTTAATTAATTTATTGTTTTAAGTTAATTGTTTAATTTTTAGAAAATTACTATATTGATCATGATTTTAAAACGAAAATACTCATCTACTATAGCACCTTGGTATTAGATTTTCAATTCCAATACTATATTACTTAACATCAGTGATAAATTATCATTTATAATTATATTTAAAAGCTAAAAATTTAAAAATTTAACATGAATGAATTATTAAATAATAATCACAACATAATATTAAAAATTAAAATATAGAACAATTAAAATATTAAAATATAAGTTACACAAATATTTTAAAAGTTCACAGTAATTATATAACATTGGCATATCTAATTAATGATTGAACTATTTTAATTATATGAAAATATCTGATTTATTATTTAACATAATGACCTAAATGTGTTGTATGTTACAAAGGCTACTTTTCGTACCAGTTACTTTTCAATATCATCAGTAAAATATTGAATAAAAATTTTTATAAAAGGTAATAAATATATTTATTTCGTAATAATGATAATAAAAGGTATCTGATACGATAAGTTGCTATTGTTAAATGAATGAATGTCTTATTGATTATAACGTTATTATGTATGACTGAGACGCGACGTGACATATCTCTCAATCCAAATACAGACTGTATTGTAAAGTATTTAGACTGAAGTGGCATATTATTGACCAAGTTCCCAATATATTAGTTTATAATTCATAGCTACTATTTAATTTGTCCAGAGATATAGACCGGGTAATTTAATTATATAATTGTCTATTTTGTTGTTCATACGTACAATATCTCATAAAACATTTCTAGTTATATATTATTATCAAGAAATTAATATAATATAAAACTGATAAAAATGGTGAAATATATTTTACATTTTTCCAAATATTTGTACATAAAATTAACGGTTTTATATTGTAAACTAGCTAAAATTAAGTTCACCAAGAAACATGTTAAACTTATACTAATATTATTATTTGTGTATCAAATCGTCGACCAAACCGTCAATTATTTACACTACGATGTGATCAATGATTTTAAATACGATCGCAATTCCCAGCTATTAGTTTACAACAAGTCGCTAACCCTATGTCTAAACCCGCGACACATAGGACTCGCGGATACCAATCAAACCGATCTGGACTACTGGCGCTCAATTATGCGCAAGGTCACGTGTTTCATACTTAAAGAGAGACACCCCATAACACTTTGCTCGCAATTATCGCCGGTATATATACGTCATCGACGGGACGGGAGCTTATGTCTCACGTATATGAATGACTACACGAATCGTAATGAGTTTACGACAAATCCGTTTGTGTGGCTCAACCTATACCTGCAAGACTTACCTCACGCGGAAGTGGCTGTCCATCCGTTGTATACAATGTCTCATTTCACATCCATGTCCCGGGTGTTTGGACGCAATACTGAGCGAAATATTAATATATTGCCAAACTTGCAGACATTGTTACCCCGACCCTATCCCACCGACTGCTACGACTACGAGTTTAATCGCGGGTCGGGTGGTGTCGGACCGAAATCCCGGAGCGAATGTATGTTACGAGTGATGCGTGACTTAGAGCTGAGCCGTTGCCGACATAATCTCTATTGGGATTCACGAGTGTTTCGTAACGAAAGCCAATTTGTCGCGAATAGCGCAGTGAATGTCACGTGTTTTGTTGTACCCGACTATCACCTACTGTCCAAAACGTGTCGAATTGAATGCAATCACTATTTTGTGAACCAAAATATTCTCGTTAAAAATTCACCAAACATAGACTCGCACGATATGAAAGCTATCAATCTACTTTACACAGTATTAATACCTTATATCTGGAAAATTACGCCTAAATGTGATTTTATAAGCTATTTATCGGCAATCGGCGGACTAATGGGAATGTGGTTGGGATTCAGTGTCTATTCGGTTATTATATCGACATTTAAAATCATAAAATTACTAATGTTTCGGAAATTTAGCAACATTATGAGAAAGTTTAAAATATTAAAATTTAAACATGCTAAAGTAGCAAAATACATTCCGCTCGCAATTTGTTCCTACTTTTTGATTTATCAAGTATCTGAAATATATCAAGATTATAATGAATTCAATATTAAAATAAATGTAGACTTTAAGCATATCCTTCGAATTCCAGGTGTAAAATTGCTACTTGCGCCCGATTCAATAGATCAAGCTGCTGTTGACCACCATGTTGCAAATATATTTGACCATGGCAACCATGACGATATTCAAAATAAAAGATTTGGATTGTCCGGAGTGGTCTTTATGTCAAAAGTGATTCGTAAATTATTTTCACTCAATAACCTGACATTGTTTCGTCAAATTGGTTACGATTATAAAGGTCAAATTGATTGCTATTTCCGCTTAAATAACGGTGCACACATTAATTGCCCCGAGAGAGAAAACACGTTTCTACAATATACAAATGATATTGTCTTTATGGAGCATTGGTTTAGAAATTTTACCAAGGGCTTTCAACATGAGATTCGCAATTATCTGACGAATAATGATAGACGTATCGAGCAACTTACCATCAAGTTCAACTTTACAAATATTCAAGGATTATACATAATCATAATGACCGGCGACAATACATACAACGTGGCCATCGATCGCAACTCCGAAACAAATCTGGAGTTTACGTCGCGTACGTATCGCCGCTTAAGTCGCCGTACGCTTACGTGCGTAGACTTACGCGACACTTACGACGACTTGTTTTACGTGAATTACTACAGTACCCCCGATAGCTACGATTGTTACGCTCGCGAGTTAAATCGGACTTACGGGTGCCTACCGGTGCAACATTACTTTTATATTATAAACCTCGACAAACACATTGAATATTCCGGATACCGGTTCTGCGCGTACGATACGATAAACTATAATACGTCGGTTGATAAACTCATAATGGGTGCATGCACAATAAAGCATAATTCGTGTGATTACGTGGATTTCTATATAAATTCAATTATTGTGCGAGAACATTTAAATTACGGTCAAGTCAATTTAATACCGCTAAATTACATTGAGCCACAGATTAGCGAACAATTTGCTATGGATTACTATGATTTGATTTATAACGTCGGGGGTACTATAGGCATGTGGATCGGGGTATCCATGCTATCGGTTAACATGATTTTCATGTATTTAATTATTGCATTTAACACTTTGTTTAACTATTTATATATTAAAATTATTAACTTTTATTATTATATTAACGATATTTAAAAATCAAAGTCAATTTAATATGTATTCATTATATCAATACCTATACAAATTAATATTGTTAAATATTTTAAAATCTGTTACCATCTTAATTTCCCAGGGTACATGTGCCCTGAGTTATGGCTAGTGTGCAGCACTGTATACAGTAAGATGTACAGTATAGTACAGTAAAATGTAATTTAACGATTTCCAATAAAGTCTTAGTTATTTGTTATAAAAATGTTATATTTAAATAATAAATACATATTTTTAAAAATCTGGCATTATACTTTCCGATGACCCATATCACAATTTTTTGATGTATCAGAAAGTTGGTTGACTCATTTTATATATATATTAACGCAATCCTATGAGTTCATAGTTGCTATCCTTGGCTACCCTCTGGCCGAGTCATCATACCTGTGCCTCACGTACACCACTAGAACTTTCCATACAAGTCGTACT